TTGCTGATACCAAGGTCTCAAGTAGAAAGAAAATGTTTTGAAAATAATGATGGCAACATATGTACAAATATGCTGGATATAATGGATGGATGGATGGATTGTGGTAAGAGCTGTATGAGCCCCCAGTAAAGAGATTTAAAACATATATCTCACTTATCTAGTACCTAAAATGTTTGATGTATTTCTTCTTTTTTGTTTTGTTTTCTTTTTCTGTAAATATCTAAGGAGTCCTGGTGAAGTAGTAGGTTGTAAATTCAGCTGCTAAACACAAAGTTCAAAACAACCAGCCTCTCCCCCGAAGAGAGATGAGGCTTTCTGCTCCCCAAAGATTCACCGCCTGCGATACACACAGTAGTTCTTCTCTGCCCTATAGGACCATTAGGAGTTGGAATCCACTTGATGGCATCAAATTTGCTTTTGGTTTGGAACTGAAGGTCAGCCATTTCGCAGGCACTAGCTTCTCTGTTCTGAGGGAGAAAGATGAGGCTGACTCTTGCTATAAGCAGTGGTTTTCAACCTTCCTAATGCCATGACCCTTGAATACAGTTCCTCACATTGTGGTGACCCCCCCCAACCATAACATTAATTTCTTGCTACTTCATAACTGTAATTTTGCTGTTATGAATCAGGCGACCCATGTGAAAGGGTCGTTCGATCCCCAAAGGGGTGGGGACCCACAGGTTGAGAACCGCTGCTATAAAGGGTTCCAGCCTCGGAAAACCTTGGCAGTAATTCTATGGGAATCGGAGGATTTCGATAAGTCAGAATGGACTCCATGGTAGTGGATTTGGTTAGGGTGTATGTTTTTTCCCCCACAGCACTCTTTCTGTTTTTCAGCTAGTTTCTATAATTCATTGAAATGAACACACACAACTCAGATAATACTCATGCGTTATGAGGTTTAAGATGGAAGTTAAAAATCAGGTGGAAATGCTCAGGATGGAGTTGGTCAGTCAGAACATGTTCCAGAGTTTTTTTAAGGATGTTAATAAATGCCCAAAGGGCATGCCTTTCACTGTAACCCTCCACCTGCAGGCTCCAGCTCAGGGTCAGCAAACCCACCGCCCCTACTTAAGTGCCCAGAGGCACTCCACTTTGTAAGCATCCTTCTGTCCAAAAGCACTCAGCTTTTACTTGTTCTGTGGGCTAGGAAGTCCACCACTCTGTCTACCGCTCTAATTCCTGGTTCTGCTGTTGCTACTCCTCTGCTGTCAAAGCTATCTCCTGAGTCAAGGAGATCTAATGCACAGGGATCTCCCTTCCTGCTTGTGAAATGACACTTTATACCAGCAGGATGGTAATCACTCACAGTGGAATTATATAATACAATCAGCATCTTCCTTCATTATCTTACCCAGACTTATCAGGAAAGGGTTGTTTGGTGAGTACTAAAGAGAATATGGTTGGAAGAGCTGCATTAAATAATTCACTGCCTTGCAGTGTATGTATCTAGTTGTGAATTTGTTTTGTACAAAACTGAAATTTGACTCTCAAGTTCAACAGTGAGCTAAGACCACCTAGGGGAAAAATAGAAACAATCAGTTCAGTGCCTGTTTCAAATATAAGAAAATAGAATCTTTTAATAGGGTAGTTCTCCTTTTTTGTTTCTTCTAGTGATAATAAAACTTTTGTTTTTCTGAGCACACTGCTACACACTTTATCACTAATCCTAAAAATAGCCCTTGGAGATGATTATTATCTGCTTTTAAAGACTAAGAAATGATGAGTCAGATGTAACAAATTGTCAAAGGTCACA